CACTACTAGAGCTTTTGGTTGCATGACCGAAGCTTCTGGTTGCATGACCAGAGCTTCTGGTTGCATGACAAGAGCCTCTGGTTCATCTTACATACTTAGGAAAGTATAAAGTAACTCGTCCATCGGTTCTCTGATTCCACATTCAGACTAAGCAAATCATTGGAATTCTATTTCGTCGGTTGCTGATTCACGTTCATACTTAGAGAAATAGTGCATTTCTCGACCATCAATTCTCTAGTTCCTCACACCTTGCAACCCAATGGATCTCTCATCCATTGGTCTCTGGTTTCTCGCACTTAACAATATAAGGAGACCTCTAATCCATCATCTCTGGTCCTTCTAACCAGAGATTCTGGTCTATCATGATCACTTAATCACACAAGGGATTTTCTACCCATCGCCTCTGGTCCTTCCAACCAGCGCTTCTGGTCCAACATGGACACTTAACAAAATAAGAGATTTTCTTCCCATCGCCTCTGATCCTTCTAACCAGCACATCTGGTCCAACATGGACACTTAACAAAATAAGGGATTTTCTAATCCTTCACCTCTGGTCGGTCTAGGGCAATGGATATTCATAATTTGTGCAACACATAAAATCATGCTTTTCATAACAATTTCTTAACTGGAGCATATCTTTCGTACAACTGATTAAGTTCTTCTTATTATATGTAAATTAAACACAGGTGATCAGGCTTTGTTTAATCGACATATAATAATGTGACCCGCTTTAAAATCATATGATTCTAAATTACTCGAAAACCATTTTGATTTTTTTTTTGGTTATAGTCGATGATTTTGAAGGAAAACCAGCGTTTTCTATAACTGAGGCTCTGATACCAAATCTGTCACACCCCGCTAAAGCGGAAACACGAGATGTAACAGATAAGCGAGTCACAGCAACAGTTAATAAATAACACCTTTCAAATTTTACAAAATAAAACAAATTTAACATCATTAACCAAAATGGAATAGTGTACTTTTTATACAAAACTTCAAACGCAAACTTAATCGTTCTTGCAACGAATATGCTCCCAAAAACTTCATTTCTTACTTAAATCCTAAAAAACATGAAACATAAAACAAGGTCAACTACAAAGAGTTGGTGAGTTCACGGATTTTTATATGCACAAAACATTCCAATGCATAAATCATTTATTTGCAAACATATACATAAACTTTTGCACTTAATAAATGTAAATCTACCACGATGCTTAACTTAAGACGCTACTGAGCCTTACCTGACCAACGTGCCCCATTATTTAACGAACGACCATAAGTAGCCCGTACACTTAATTAGTACAGTTCGTAGTAGTACTAATTCAGCGGTGGTCCAAATTCCACATGATTAGACTAAGAAAATATAGGTAATGTGCACCCCTTTCTGGGTGGGACTGTCAACACAATAGCGGCTATCCACAATACCACAGCCCGGGGACATGCCCGAGTTAACAAGTAACGTTTACGGACGGGGACTTTATTTGGAAACATACTCCCAAGCACATCAATTTAGCATTTATATCATAGTGCAAAACAATAAACAAAACTTGACTAAACAGTTCTTTAGTCCAACGGTTTTGACTAAACAGTTCTTTAGTCCAAAGATTTTAAACAGAGCATCGACTAAACAGTTCTTTAGTCCAACGGTTATAAATAAAGTATAGTTTGCATAACTTCATGTTTTTCCCCCAATCTAAATAAACAAAAAACATTAAAAGTGGGGCCGTGAGAACTCACTGGTTTAATGATGAATATCCAAGAAGATGACGTCTGAAGCTCTCAACGTCTGCCCTACCTTCCTAAACAGACCAACATCCAGTATTTAGTTCACCTATGGGTTCTTGTCAAAGATAAAGTCAAATTGCATCATATGTAATGCCATCGGATTTTTATGAATTAAAGTTGATATTTTATTATTTATTCTAAAAATAGCCCAAAAATTATATATATTAAAAGAAATCAAAATCCTTTACTCAAAAGCTGATATTTGGACAGATTATAAATTCTTTTCCAGGTATATTTTGGGTTTCACAAATCACTATAAATAGGAACCTTCCAAAAGTTATTTTATGTCCAACTTTTACATCATTCAAAATAATGAGATCAGCCGACTATTCCAAATATCAAGAAATTTGAGTGGGTTTAAGTTACTCATTATTACCCTACAATCTTGAATTACACAGCCCCCAAAACAAATTGCACACTCTTCGAGTGACAACCATTTACTCATCATTTTCCAAAGATTTTAACCCTATTTTCAAACTACCAAAAACGGTTCACCTTCAGAAATTATTTTCCGATCTCATTAAATTTTGAAGATGCACAAATCGATTTTGGATGCATGCAAGATTCTTCCATACTTCAAAACATATCTTTACATGATCGGACTTCGCATGCAAATGAGCTTTCTCCTATTTTTCTTAAAGATCAAAGAACATGGATTATCATCCTTTTTGAAGACATTCTCATGTCTTTGACGAATAATCTCCCCTCTTTAACTCTCCAGAATTTTAACTAAAAGGCCAAAAAGTAGGAGTAGGATGATGAAAACTTTTGTTATTTTACAAGGGTAAGATAACTAGGATCATACCTTTGTCTTAAAATCTTGAATATTCTTCAAAGATTGACAAAATTTTCCTGAAGACTTGCTTGAAGGAATCGGCTGGAGGGTGGTTTGTTTTAAAGAGAGATCAGAGAGATGAAAAGCTTATGCTGAGAGAGTTTGGAAATGAGAGTTTTTCAAAGGATGTGGGTATTTATATGAGGATTTTAAAGAAGGAAATGGGCTAGCCTCTAAAGGCCCAAACCCAAATAAAACTTTTATTTTTCTTAATATGAATGAACCCACTATATAATTTACCGAAACATAAATAAAATGACACTATTAATTTCAAAACTCCACCTTTTGATAAATTATGTGGACATTCAAATAAGACTTTTGTATTTTAATTTAAAAGTTTATAATATCAACTTTATTTTATTTGGAGCATTACTAAAATATTTGGCATTACACAAGTTAACTTTATCGGTTACCCGCCGAGGCGTGATTTTCCGAACTAAACTTGGGAACTAAGCCAGATGAACTCTAACCACCATGACTAGATCCTAGTAAATTTATAATTCTAAATATAGGATCTATAATAAGGTGCTAACCTGAGGCTCAGAAATGACGGAATGTCACAGTCTCCCCATGCCAGAAAAATTTCGTCCCGAAATTTATTCGTCAATCCAGATCATGACTCGCTTGAGAACAAGTGAGGATATTCGTTTTTCATGAAATCTTCTCTTTTCCACGTGTACTCCAGTCCATGCCTCGAAGTCCAATGAACTTTTACAATTGGGATTTTGCTACGCCTCAATTGCTTGACTTTATGGTCGAGGATTTCGATCGGCTCTTCAATGAAGCGTAACCGTTCATTAATTTGAATATCTTCCAAAGGTAGAACCAAAGATTCGTCGGCTAAACATTTCTTGAGGTTTGATACATGAAATGTATCATGGATGTCACTAAGCTCTGGGGGCAAGTTTAGTTTGTATGCAACCGGTCCTACTCTTTCGAGTATTTCCGAAGCGCACCACTCCTTTCCATGGAGATACTTTTAAAAGGACTTTATCACCCACTTGAAATTCCACTGGTTTCCTTCGGTTATCAGCGTAGCTCTTCTAACGATCTCTTGCAGCTTTAAGTCTTTCTTGGATGATCGAGAGTTTGTCGGTTGTTTCCTAGATAATGTCAAGCCTAGTCAGCTGTCTATCACCAATTTCCAACAAGCTGAGTGGGGATCTACATTTACGCCCATACAATGCTTCGTACGGTGCGCACTGGATACTGGTGTGATAGCCATTATTGTAGGAAAATTCAACCAATGGTAGATGAGTGTCCCAACTGCCTCCAAAGTCTATCACACAGGCTCGCAACATATCCTCTAACGTTTGGATAGTCCTTTCCGTTTGCCCATTCGTTTGAGGATGATAGGAAGTACTTAAGTCCAACCTCGTGCCTAGTGCCTTTTGAACTGATCGCCACAATCGTGAAGTAGAACGGCTATCTTTATCTGAGATGATGAAAATAGGTACTCCATGACGCGATACGATTTCATTGATATATAACTGTGCAAGCCTTTCCGTACTAAAGTCTTCTCGAACAGGTAAGAAGTGCGCAGATTTCGTAAGTCGATCCACTATGACCCAAATTGAGTCATATCCTCTCCTAGTCCTAGGTAACTTTGTAACAAAATCCATTGATATCTGATCCCATTCCATTGGGGAATCTCTGGTTGCTGAAGAAGACCAGACGGTTTCTGATGTTCAGCTTTTACCCTTGCACAAGTTATACACCGTCTTACATACAAGGCAACGTCCTTCTTCATTCCTGGCCACCAGTAATATTCTCTTAGCTCTTTGTACATCTTATCGGTTCCTGGGTGAATTGAGTATCTTGAGCGATGTGCTTCCTCCAAAATTATTGACCGGAGGTTGTCGTTCTTTGGTATCCAAACTCTATCTCTGAAGTAAAGCACCCCATCTACCGAGTAAGACTCTCCATCTTTATCATTGCTCTTACCGGATAAGATTTTTGACCCTTGCCATGTTCATCTGGTAAGGAAAATTACCCGATAAACACTTACCAAATAAACATTTAGTAAACGACCCCTAAATATAAAATCAACAAAAACTTATTGTAAAATGTTACTAATTAAATGTATTTATTAAGTGGATGATAATCAGATGGGTAACTGAATGACCATTGAATTAGATCAATTTGGTTATATTGGATTTTTGAGTGCAACCGACATGCAATTACAACTGAAAATCCAATTATAGGCAATCGGTTTTAATTGGATCGGATGAATTTTTGCACGTTCCTAAATTACATACACTTATCCAGTAGTATTGCCGGAACGCATTTGTCATGATGAAAAGCAGTATATCCAACCAAACTGAATCCAATATACCTTTACGAGGCCTGGAAAGTAAGATGTACGTAAACATGACCTCTATCCCAAAGAAACTGGACCGACATATCTGATCTTCGCAATAGAAAGCCTTTCTGGTTCTACAATCGTTTACATCATACGTAATAACACTCACTCCTCTCGTTAACAAAATGAAGACCAAAAGGCGGTTACAAGAACCAAAAACGGTCTAAATGAATTTCTAAAGTTGTCGTTATAATCTGTACATCTAATGACCTTCCTTTTAATAGGTTTTCAAAGTATGTTTTACGTAGCAATCTCCCTACTGAAAGACATGAATTTGTATTAAATCTTACCCGGAAAAAGAAACCACAGCTAATCATCTTCATCTTCATATCCATGCCCCAAAGCAGTTCGTTTCAGTTTTCTGCAATAGTTAGATGCATGAATCAAGTAGCAATCTCCAAAATCAAATACTTGAATTCGTATTCCCTCCATTCCAAAATAAATATCCAATATGAAAAAAGGCACACAGTTATATAAATGTGTTAATGATTATACTTTCTAATTAACTAAATTACAAGTTTACACATGATAATAGAGGGAGTAAATAATTTATCCATCTTATAATTAAGGGTAGAATTGGAAAACACTTTTGAAAATGAACACTTTAAAATAGAGATGTGGAAGCCGCAGAGGGAGTATTAAATCTTACCCAGAAATAGAAACTGTTGCTAATCTTCAACATCATGCTCAAAAGCAGGTCGTTTCAGTTTGTGGAAGATCTCGTCCAGTGAATCAGAAGAAGAATTTCGAGGGCCAATCCTAGAATCATCAACTTGAAGCAATGGAATGTAGTTTTTGGCTTTCAAACTATGAAGGTTGGATTTCATTGAGGACCAGGTTGAGGATAATCTAGACGATGGTGATCTGTTGTCACCATCAAGCAAGGAGACTTTAGCCGAGGCTAGGTTGCCCACTGGCTTTGTTTGTTGTCGTATGGCAGCGTACTTGCTGCTGATGGCTTCTCTGCTCCCACTATATCTACGGACGTCCTCTCTTTGATGTCGGGATGTACTTTCCTTTGAGAGGCTGATCATCGTCTTCATGTTAACACCATCCCTGACCTAAAAATGTAAGTTACAGTTCTCAAATATCGTAAGCTCAGGATATCTTTACAGAAACAACTGTTCTACCCTTTAGGATAGAAGACACTGCTTTCATACAAGAATAAGTTACAATTGTCAAATATAAAAAAGATAAGTCAAGGACACAGCTGAGATGCTCTACCTTTTGTGGTGGACCCTAAACTGCATAATGTGCTACTGTTTAATGGTGTAAGCTACATGTGCAGAAGGATCGTGGATTTTTTGAACTATTTGATGAGAAACAAAGAGTTGGGCTATGTTTTGCAATTTGTGTTCATATAAATGCAAAGTTAAGAGTATCATAATGTATTTAAAGCTCAAATCGATCAGTATTACAGTATGTAATGCAACAACAATAAGAGATTACGTACTGTGCTACTGTTTCCTGGCTCCATGTCCACACTTGTATCATTAAAATATCTTGCCAACGGAACAACTTCTTCACCAATGTTGTGCCCTTGTTCAAGCCAAGCCCGCTCTAAGCACAAATAAACCAAATTATATACCTATAATACTGAAATAAGTCCGCCAAGCATTCACATCGTATAAAAAAACAGAATCCAGAATCTTACCTTTTTGTAGGATCATTAATCCTGATGGATCAATACCATCAAGATCATCTTCTTCGTTGTGGAATGCGATCCTCTTCCACTTTCCAATAATATTAATTATCTTATGAAAGAAACCGCTTGCAACTAAGATAGTGTATACAACCATAATAAGTGGATAGAGTTTGTTGAATCCTTTCCCAAAGAAAGGGACAGCATTGTCAATGTTTCCCATTCGCTGCATTCAGTATACATTACAACACATCATAAAAGTGTATCAATGAGGTATTCATTAAAATATATTTGAAGATAAGCTTGGTAATTTGTGTATTGCATATGTAAATCACGATTACACTCTAGACCCTCTGATATAATTATACATATATATATATATATATATATCACACTTAATTGTCTAATATTCCCCCGCAAGCTAAGGCCGGGTAGCGACCTGTAGCTTAGACCGTAATAGGAGCTTGGATCGTAATAGGAGAAACCGTTGTGAAGGTAGCGTCTTGGTGAACACGTCTGCAATCTGACTATAAATATAAATTAAACTGAAAGCTTTCGTTGCGCAACCATTTCTCGAACAAAGTGAAAGTCAACTTCTACATGCTTGGTACGGTACGGGCATGAAAGACAGGATTAGCAGAAAGATACGTAGCACCAAGATTATCACACCATAAGGTAGGAACTGACTTCATAGGAACCCGGAGTTCGCGCAACTATGTTTGTTGCCATGTGCGCTCAGCAACAGTATCGCTAGAGCCTTGTATTCAGACTCTGTTGACGACCGAGAGACAATCCTTTGTTTTCGTGCAGACCATGATACTAGGTTTGAACCAAGGTAGATAGCATATCCCTTAGTGGATCGATAGTCATTGGGGCAACCAACCCAGTCAGCATCAAAGAAGCCAGTCAGACAGTTGTAAGCAGAATCATTGTAGGCATGAAGGATTGCGACTGAATCATGCATGATTCGTAAACCATAGTCAGCAGTGCCCTGCAAGTAACGAAGAATTCGTTTGACTGTCGTCCAATGATTTTCAGTAGGGGTGTGCATAAATTGGCAGACTTTGTTGACCGCGAAAGTAATATCCGGACGAGATACTGAAGGGCACCCACAATTTGGCGGTACTTGATCCGATCAGCAAACGTAACACTATCACCAAGAGCAAGATTAACATTAGTGGTCATAGGAGATGAAGTCGGTTTAGCATTAGACAGGCCTGCACGTTGCAAGAGTTCAAGGATGTATTTCCGTTGTGATAGAATCATATCATGACCCTGGTTACTTCAATACCGAGAAATAAGACAAGCGACCCATATCCTGAACAACAAAGGATTGGCTAAGACGTTGTACCACTTTGTTAATAGCCTCCGCGTTGTTTCCTGTCAAAAGAATATCAACATAGACTAGCATGTACAAAATGGTGCCCCTGTGGGAGTAAATAAACAGAGAAGGGTCCGTTTTGGAGCCCTGAAAGCCTAGAGAATGAAGGACCATAGAAAGTCAATGAAACCACGCTCTAGGGCATGCTTTAATCCATATAAGGATTTGTGAAGTAGGCAAAGATGATCGGGTTTGTCCGGGTCAACGAACCCTGGTGGCTGTTACAAATAAACTGTCTCGTTGAGATCACCATGTAGGAAGGCATTTTGCACATCAAGTTGCCTTAGGGACCATTTCTGTGTTGTGGCCAAAGATAGAATAACACGTATGGTGGTCGATTTGACTACGGGACTGAATATCTCCTGATAATCAATGCCTGTGCCGAAACCCTTTGGCTACTAGTCGTGCCTTGTAACATTTTATTGCCCTTGTTTGGTCCCTTTTTAATTTGTATACCCACTTACAATCAACTACGGTGGAATTTGGAAAGCGTGGTACTAACGTCCAAGTACCATTCTGCATCAACGACGAATACTCGTTAGCCATGGCAGTACGCCACTGAGGATACATGTTAGCAATAGTAAAGATGGTCGGTTCGGTGTCAAGGGAAGGATGATGGGTACGGTATGAGGAGGCACTGTAAGGTTCGGTTTGTTTGGGATTGGGGCGTAGGTTAGGTGGTCGAGTACGGGTGGGTTGTTCGGTGGTAGAGGAGGGGGGGTAGGGGTAGGGGTAGGCTGAGGTGGTGGTTCGGTGACTTTGGAATGGCGGTGATATGTGAGAATAAGGGGTGGTTGGGTTGTGGGTGGTGGTAGGTGTTGTTTCTTGTGGGACAGATTGTACAGTAGGTGCTGTTGAGGGTGTCGGTTCTGGTGTGAGGTCAAATTTGGGATAGGTGGAGACGTAAGGATTTGGAGTGGTTGGAATAGGTGTGGTTATAGGAGATGTTTGGAAAGGAAAAGATTGTTCATTAAATCGAACATGACAGGCCATGTAAAGACGATCAGACTGTGGGTCGTAACACCGATAGCCATGATGAGCGGTGCTGTAACCAAGGAACACACAAAGTGTAGAGCGGAAGTCCATTTTGTGTTTATTGTATGGACGGAGATGAGAGTAGCATTGGCATCCAAAAACCCGAAGAAAGGAAAATCAAGTTTATGCTTGAACACATGTTCAAAGGGTGAGGTGTTTGAGTTGGTTCTGGATGGCATTCAATTAATAAGATAGACTGCGGTGTCAAAAGCAAAATGCCAAAACCATTGCGGAACACGGGATTGAGCAAGTAAAGTAAGACCGGTTTCAACATGTCGATTTCGTTGTTCAACAAAGCCATTTTGTTCGCTTGTATGTAGACATGAGAGGCGATGGGTGATGCCGAGAGGAGAGAAGAATTGGGAGAGATTCTGAAACTCGCCTCCCCAGTTAGTTTGGTTTGAAAATGCCTTTCAACCATTGCAAGGAATCGTTTAAAAGTGGCATAAACATCATATTTTAGTTTTAATGGAAAAATCCACATAAATCTGGAGTAATGATCAACACAGTAGAAAATAATTGTGACCATAAAAAAAAGGAACAAAAACGGGGCCCCATACATCACAGAAAACTAAATCCAAAATGTGTGAACTTTTATAAGTAGATGGTAACAAATGAAGTTTAGATGATTTGCCAACACAACATGAATCGCAAAAAGTACTAGCACACTTATTTTGTAAAGGTAAATGATATTTAGACAACATGGACTTCAAAAGTTGTGGATGTGGATGTCCAAGTCTTTGGTGCCATGTGGTGGAAGAGGCACGTGCGGTAGAAAACCACATTTTCTGAGCAGGTTGAGGCTAAGGAGGACAGAAGGAGTAGAGACCACCATTACTTGGACCCGTGAGGAGGATAGTGTGTGTGAACTTGTCTTCACAGCAAAAAAAGTAGAGTGAAATTCAAAGTACACATGGTTATCAAAACATGATTTTTGAACAGAAAGTAAGTTTTGTTTTATGTCAGGGACGTGTAGTATGTCTTTAAGGGAAAAGGTTTTGTTTGGTGAATAAAGTTGTGATGAACCAATGTGTAGAATAGGTAAACCCTTACCATTGCCAACATGAAGGTTGTCCTCACCGTAGCAGGCCTCAGAGTTATCGAAGCTAGATAGGTCCAGTGCAACATGATGGCTAGAGCCAGTGTCCGAAAGCCAAGCTTGTGACCGGTAATCTGTAAAGTTGGCAGAAGGTGGTTGTCTCGTCCTCATTGGAGCAGGGTCGCGATTGGGGCAATGAGATGGGATATGACCAATCCCACACTTGTTGCATGTGCCACAAACAATGTTTTCATTAGAAGCCAACTAAATTGATTACGTGGTACCTCCTCCTTGACTTTTGTTGTTGTAGTTTCCTCGTCCGCGTCTACAATCACATCCACGGCCACGGTTATTCCCAAGATCTGTTGGTGTAAAAGGTTGTGCAGGCTCTGCATTAACAGGCTGAACTTGAAGACCAAGTTGTGACAGAAGCTGCTGAATAGCTTAAAGTTAATCTGGTTGAGGAGTAGACGAGGTGGCACAAGGAACCGCTGAGTTGCGGTTGTTTGTGACAATCGTGAATCCTTGAGGCGGAGAGATGTCAGTTGCAGATTTCTTGATCATGTAGTCATGGTCTGATAGCAGGCCATGAAGTTCTACAAAGGCAGTTGGGAATTGGCGACCAAGGAGTGTTGACTTCAGCCCGTTGTATTCTTCTCTAAGACCCGAGATAACCAGCATCACCAAATGTTTTTCTTTCATTGGTTCGCCTATATTTGCGAGAGCATTAGCATTTTCCCGAGCCCTGGTCAGGTATGCAGAGGAGGTTTCAGCAGGCTTCATCTCTAGTTTAAGAAGCCGAGTTTTTAGAGTGTATTCCCTAAATGATGTGTGAGGAGCGTAAGCACGTTCAAGAGACAACCAAAGATCACGGGAGGTAAGTCCTTGAACGTGTTGGAACGACGCTTCAGAGATTGTAAATAATCAACATCCGTACGTGTGCATCATTGGAAACCCATGTTGTGTAGTTAGGATTCGGTTGTGGTGGCAGCATTGTGGTGCCGTCGGCATCTTTTCCAGCTGATGATGATGATGAGATAGTCATCGATGGACAGGGAATGGTGCTATCAACATAGCGGAACAGGTTGTCTGTAACAAGGAACGATTGAACCATTGCCTTCCAATAGCCAAAGTTGTTTGGTGATAAAGTGAAGCCAAACTTGCGGGAGTTATGGACAGTTGTCATTGGACAGAAGGTGCAATAGTTGTCATTGGACAGAAGGTGCGGCAGCCGTAGGGTAGAAGACGGATGCAGTAGCTTTAGGGTTGCCTTGTGACGACAGAGGGTGGTCGGCAGAAGGTGCGGCAGCCGTAGGGTAGAAGACGGATGGTGCGGTAGCTTTAGAGTTTCCTTGTGATGGCAGAGGGTGGTCGGTAGCTGTAGGGTGTCTAGGGCTGGCTCTGATACCAAGATAAACTTGGTAATTTGTGTATTGTATATGTAAATCACGATTACGATCAGGGATATATATAAGAGATACATTTACACTCTAGACCCTCTGTTATAATTATATATATATATATATATATATATATATATCACACTTAATTGTCAAATGGAAGATGAGAGGGGATGCAAATAGCATAATGAAGAACATAATCAAAATGCACACATGCAAAAATCCATATTTTAAATATGAAACTGTGGAGCCCACTATCCACCAGCTTAAGATTTTGGATAAGTTGCTGCTGATTTAGCATGATGTTAGAGCTCTCATTTCCATCACCTCCCCTTAATGTTACTAGTTTAATTTGCACTCCTTTTTCCAGTAACGTACGTCTATCTAAATCTAAGACTCCACATGCTAGTTAGCATCCTCCTTGAGAAGCATCTTGGATATATATAACTGTTTGGCGATCACTACCATCCTATGTGTTAGTAAATATATTACCAAAAATAATATCAAGTTTCAATATCTTGCAGTTATGAAACATTTGGAGCATCAATCATCAATGGTTAGTAACAAAAACTGCATATGCATTATACACCTATGATAGATGAAAGAAGAAAATGGGGACATAATTAGGGGCGAAGGATCGTGTGAGAAGAAGAGTTAAGGTGAGAAGCGTAACAAGGGATCTGGACCGTTGATCACTTTTAATCTCAAACCCACCCATGGATCGCGCTTGATACGGGGACTGATCTGGTGCATCTCATCCTAATGTGCATCTAAGGGTGGAGATCCCTTCTTATGCTTCTCACATTAACCATCCTTCTCACCGGAACCCAACTCTATGTTTAGATACCCTTCTCAAAAAGATTGAAATATGAGGGTGTAACGATCATCAAAAACTGTCCATTTTTTACAGATAGACGGGCACAGCAACCACACCCTCAAATCCTGCATTATATAGTTATACGATGCACTTACAGTGCTTATTGCCCACCTTTTATGTGGTGCTTATGTGTTCTCTCCAATAAGTCGCTGGTTTTTATCAAATCTTGCATGGTGCAACTGTACCATGTAAACAGATGCTTTAAGTGATGCACTTTCATACTTTCTGTGATGTATGATTTTTCATTTGTAACATTTCAGAACACAAAGCCATGGCAGGAAATTCCATGTTATTCATGAAAAATTATACAACGCATACAGCGCTTTGCTTTTCTTCTTTGCCAAAATTATAATAAAAATAGCATACTAATCTACTAAATGTTAATTGAAGCTTAAATGTTTCCAGAAAGAAGTATTACTCATCTTTCTTCTTTGTGCATTATATACGTGTGTACTCGTGCAAAAAGTGCTAAAAGTTGCTTAACCAAAAGATTTCACTAGTTCATGGTCGTTTGGAAGCTTACCTTCTCAAAGATAGTTTTCTTGTTCTCATCAAGACGAACGAGATTGAGAAAATTGTAGGAAACTGGAGGTGCATAGCGTGCAACCATCCTGAAGCAGATTGTTACAAGTATTTTCCAGCTTAGAAACAGATTATCAAATATAAAAAACGTATATAACTGAGGGATGTAAAACTTACGAGCATATCATGAGCAAGCTCACTGAGCTTGTGTGTCTCGGTGTAAATGAATAAAACATCAGCATACCAATTTTGAATAACGAGTAGTATGTGCAAATGCACATGTAAAAAAGAGGAACAAATGCAACAACCTACATTCCAAAGAGAACCCAATAAGAACAAACGCCACTAAGTGTAACATTTAAATAAACTGCAAGTGATGATAAAATTAGCAAATGGTTCAACATAAAAAATGAGAAACAAAAATAACAACACTGCACGAGAAAGAAATACAAATAAAAACAAGATTCTTTTTAGTACTTAAAAGCCTTCACCAATATAAGCATATTACTTCAACTTTTTTGTAAAATTTTATGGCAATCTCTTTGATATTATAATATCTAGGATAGCCATAGTAGAACTAGATCTTTCATTTACATATGCAAGGGACAAAAATGAGTAGCTCGTAGTTATGTAGACAGGATATCTTGTTAACATACAAAACGTAGATCTGTATATTAGCATAATAGTACAAGTAGAGAAGCACATAGTCCAACTATTACTCCTCCAATATATATATATATATATATAGGATCACGTTTATTTGGGAACTTTAAGACCAACTATTCATAAATACTCATGATGAATATCATGAATAACGAAAATATATGATATTCATGAATATTTAGGTATAATAATCATAAATAATTCATGAATAGTTGGTTCTCACAATTCTGAAAATATTTATAGTTCCTAAATGAAGTTTCCTATATATAGAGAGTGAGGTTCACGAGAAATCCCCCAAAAAAATGAAAGAAACAGAGGAACACCTTAATAACCATTCATCTGTAGGATATATGTGCATGTGCATACAAGTAATTGAAGATGTTTCCTAGTTTCTAAGCATTTGTGCATCATTTGCATTCATATAGATGATTGGTTTAGGATCTTCCTTAGTTTTTCATTTTTTTGCGGTTTCCTGAATGTGACCTATATCATACTTAGGGGATGTTTGATAAGAGCTTAATTGGATTAATAGCCTATATGGCTTACTTAGTAAGCCAAAAATATAAAGTTATATAGATTCAACCATTTATTGATCCGTTTATTCCCTTTTACCCTTCTCCCTCTTTCATCTTCATCCCCATCTCTCTCATTCTTCATCAAACATCTCCATCCCCATCCTCTCATTCTCTATCCCTGACTTTCGACTTCCAGCAATTCGATATTTTTTTTTAAAAGCCTAACAAAACTGAGAATTAACCAAACCAATGGATGCATTGAACAAGAATTTGGGCTCTTCAACCAACCTAATCTCATGTCTAACTCTAAACCCTCATAATGGCATCTCTTGATGAACTTGGATTCAAAGAATCACCATACTCGGTACTTACAATACAGGGGTGAAATCCAACATTCGAAAATACACTAAGGGATTGATTCACTCACTGATTTGGGACTTTTCTTTCTCACAGCTTCAAGCATTTTGGGATGAGAATCTCCAAACTTTGTTTAATCCTTGCAAACCTCTTGCACTTTGCTTCCAATTTCGAACGAGATTACTGGGAATGGGTTTTCCTTTTGAACCTTGTGATAACACTTGACAGAGGTTCCAGGTTTCTCACGGCCGACCTTTTCCCGAATGTGGGTTTATCCCACTTTGCCTAATGAACCAATTCAACCCATCTAAACCATCGTTTCAATCTTTTTACCCTTGTCCGTATTAAACACTTGGCCTAATTGATTAGTATTTAATATAGACCAAGGGTAAAATGGTCACTTATATCATTTAGACTATTTGTTCAACACAATAACCAAACAAGTTATCTTAAATGATAAAACAACTTAAACAATATAGTCAACATAATTTACATGGCACTTACTGGATGCTCAGCTCCAATGTTGAGAGGGTAAATGGTTGGAGAATATGGTGCAACCATGTTAATTGGTATGTACCATGCATCATTAATCTATATCTGTTTAGTCCTCTCATCAGTAACATTTTAAGCTATAGAGATAGTAGTTTGCTTATCACAGGAAACCCTCGTCAACTTATTAGTATGAATATCCAACTCAAGGAACTTGACCCAAGCCATTCCAACATACAGGAGCTATTGCTTAGTAACTAGATGTTGCACCAATACCTGAAAAGTTATTTCTTGCTTTCTGCTAGATTAACTTATTCCTTAAAAATAAGGACAGTGGCAGGCACCTGAATAATAGGACAACATGCATAATCTGCGTTTAGACGGTTGGCAATACTAACACCTTCTATACAGATCCTCATATGTCGATACGTACCTGATCTGAACTTAATAAGATGTCTCTTCCCAGGACACCCCTCAAATACCTTAAGTACATAAGGACATCTCCAAGACCCACTATAGCAAGCAGATAATTGGTGATTTAACTATGCTCACCATGTTGGAGACATCGAAACTAATAAACATCATCGGATTTTCCATCCTTGAGTAATAATTCCCATGCCATAGTCATGAGCTCCCTCATGAATTACTATGTTGGAAGGCCATGGGACTGAAAGGTACAAAACACAGGGAGTACACAATAATGTCGAATCAAATATGTTAGGATTGAAAATCAGTATTAATTGTATTCTTCTTGAAAGTTAAATATAGTCTATAATTGTAAAAGTCATCGTGTTTGACTTTTATTAGACAGGTTTGACTTTGACTTGTGTTAGTAGGTTTGACCATATAAATAGGAATGGTCTTTGTATTTTGTAAGGAGAGAGTTTATTTGTAAATCATATTACGTAAATGAGAGTTTGACTATACTATAAATGCATTGACTTTTCCTCTCAACTATCTTAGTGTTCTTGAATGCAATATTCAGATCTGCCATTGTTGTGAAGCTTAATGAAGATTGATCACTGAAATAGGGACAAACAATTGGTATCAGAGCATGTGTGCAAGATATCAGATGAAGAAATCAGAGTTTTTTGAAGATTCTTGAAGATTTTATTTTCTGAATTTTTTTGTTCTTAGTGTTCTTCATTTTTTCTTTCTGTTTGATCCGAATTTTTTTTTAAAATCTTGTGTTTTCGTGTTATAAATAGGATCAAAATGCTCGAAATTGAATTGTGAATCTTTGTTATTCACAAAGATTTGTGATTTGATCATTCGATTTTTAATTTTTGGTGGATTTTGTGTTTTAGAGTTTTTTTCGTGTTCTTGATTTTTTTCTTTAAACCAGTGTTTTTGATCCATTTTTTTAAAAAGTTTCTTCTATTTTTGTGTTTTTGATAGGTTTTAATCTTCTTTTGAATTTTAGTTTGGTTTAATTGTTGTTAAACCGTCCAAATTTTAAGCCCAATGGTTAAGGCCCATTTTTTGTTCATCTTTGTTCAACCGGTTTAGGAGTCCAACAGGCTAAACCGCACACTTTCATTGTTCTTGTTTCAAAATCAAACGTACTYAGTTTGTGCGGACTGGAGATAAACCGCAGGAAGCTTGATCGGTTTATYAGAAATCTATTGCTCAAGGTTTATCAAGGTTTATCAAAGGTTTGAACGGATTAGGTTTAGTGGTGAAAGGTTTAAGGAGCTAAACCGCAGAAGCATCAATCGGATTGTTCACCGTTTGTTTTCATCGCATCAATCGRCTTCTAATCCAAGTCTAAACCGCACATAGCTTGATCGGTGTAAGTGAGCGGATTCATACAAGCCTTGAGCGGTTTAAGCTAAACCGCACAATCACCGTGATCGGATTATAAATCGTACAACTCAACAGATAAGTGACCGGATTGTAAATCGCTGAATGTTTGATCGGAGTTTAAATCGCACAATCATCTTGTCCGGTTTACTAAATCGCTCAAGCCATTTATTCGGATTCTAAATCGCTCAGTGTACAAGTTTACACAAATCACTTGGGGTTTGATTTCATCGCACAAGGTTTAATAGGATTTGGTCTAAAATCGTTCATCCCCTGTTCAGATTTGGTCTAAATCGTTTGCTACTGTTTCTTGATCTAATTTGGTAAATTGCTCAGGTAAAACTCTCTAAGTTTGAGTATCTGTTTGAGTTCGAGTTAGACTGAGCATATCCTTCGGCCAATTATTGCAATGAGTATTATACAGGTTACTGTATTGATTTGATTCAGCAGCAACATTTCAACAACTCTGAAAGCCTGATGATATTTTTGGATAGAGATATAAGTTGTTGCCTATGTTAAGACTGTAATAGCAATTCAATTACAGGTAAGAACTAACAACCTGATTTTCATCCTTTTTGCTTGTGATTGCACAGAAGGTAAGGACTAACAACTTTTTTGTGCTTTGAGCAATTCAAAATCTGTTTTTGAGTTCCATCTTGCTGTTTCTTTGAGGACTGGAATAACAGCCCAGGTGGGACAAAGTGAAAAGAGTGCAGTTTTGAAGCCGTTGCTGTTTGATTTTGAGATTCTGGAAGTGTGAAGCCCGTAGGCACAGACTGGTGTATTTGTTTGTCTTGTGGGAAGGTTGTGTGTGAACAGGAAGAGAGGGCTGTAGATTTGTGAGGAACTAATGCAGGACTGTAACAGAAGCAGAACTTGACTTGGCTGTTTAAGCAATACACAGCAGGACTGAAACAGCAGCTAACACATTCACAAAGAAGAGTGAATTTGTTACTAATTATTGACCTGAGTTTAAACACACAGGTGGGACAAAGCTGTTTGTTCCTGCTGTTTCTTCAAGGTTTTGAGAAGCTGTTTTGAGCTTATTTGACTGACTGTTATATAGTTTAGTCTCTGTTTAAATTTCATTGCTTGGTATTTCTCACAGATTTTGTATTGCTTACACTCGACTGATTTGTATTTTCACAGGTTTAAGCAGGTTTTGTAATTACTTGGTACAAGATTGACTGTCAATTTTGGTGCAGGAACCTGTTAAGCTGTGTGTTTTAAGCATATTTGATAGTATTCTTAAACTGTTTGATTTGGATCATTTAGAGAGCTTCTATTAGCTACACAGATTTGGTTGATTGTTCTTGCTGTTTTAAGGTCTGAAACAGCAGCAGGTTTGATAGTCACAGGTTCTTATTGCTGTTTTAAAATCTGTTTGGTTGTTCTTATTGGTATATCTTGACAGCAGACTGTTTGCATGGCTAATTCGACCCAATTCTTTAGGTGAGGATCGAAGTGTTGAATGAGTGCTT